CACCTTTATGACCTCAGGAAGTGCTTCAACTCTTTCCCCCACTTATTTCCACTCCATCTCTGTCATTTTGACTGCCTTGCTTTCTGCTATCCCTGCTGCCTGCCCTGTACTAGGCCTGTCACCCTGCACTCTGTTGCCTTTGCTGCCCCCTGAAGCCCTCAACTGATTGATTTATTTATGACTTGATTTGATTTGATTTCCCATCACAGCAAATGACTCTGGGTGGCTCACAGTTCAAAACATATGTCCCACAGGTGTTTTTTCAAAAGGCAACAAGACTTTCTTTGTTTTTGCTCGAAGACGTTTCGCTTCTCATCCAAGAAGCTTCTTCAGTTCTGAATGAACTGCCTTTTGAAAAAGCACCTTTGGGACAACAATGACCTGGATGACTGAGAATCTCCATAGATATTTAAAACATAGATTATAATTTTTTAAAAAATTAAACAATAAAAAGCATTAAAACAGTAAAAAAAACATTAAAATGTCTAATTCTAGTACATATAAAAGCAAGATATATATCCTATTAACGATAGAGCCAGGAGGCAGGGCCCTTGGTACATGTAGTGCCCTAGGCTCAGGACCACAGCCATGTTTTTAGAGCTTCACAAAAGGCTAACAGGGTTGGGGCCTAGTCAGCTAAGAACCATGAGAAGTAGCAGGGGCAGCAAAGTGCAGGTCAGCGGGGTTCAAGGTAGAATGTTGGTTTGAATGAAGGGTAGCAGGGGTGCCAGGCATCCAAAATGGCAGAGATGGAAGGAAGTAGGTGGATGGGTGGGTAAGAGTTGAAAAAGAAGCCAGCACAGCAAAAAAGAAGAAATGCGAAGTCCTCACCTAAGGATAGTGCGATCCTGGTGTAACTATTGTAACTAGGACTACTTGAACTGCTGTCACTAAGCTGTTCAGAAATGCAACTTTTTTCCTCCTAACAACTACTTTGCTTGGCAATGGAAATTCTGGTCCCAGTTAGGTCCATTAAGTGAACACTACCTGTATTTCTTTAGTACCCTGTTATATTATGTCACAACTCTTTTATCACTAGATGCAAACAAGTGGGACACAATTCCACATAATGGAATCATGTTATGATGATCAAGCTTAAAATCTTGGGTGATCAAAGAAAATTGATACTTTCAAATAACAAAATTTTCCTTTATAACTCAACCCTTTATTCTTTTTGTTATTCTTTTGCACTGCAGTTTTTGCATTCATTTGGCATATCCATAATTGTTTTGTTATCATTGCTATTATTATCTACTCTTGGATATATTACTATTATTGTTTACTCTTGGATATTGATATTTTGAGGAATACTATATTTCATTTCAAAAATAAATGTGGCAAATTTAATAAACAGTTACATGTAATAAAACACCGAGAGAGAATTAAATTTAAAATGTTAATTAATAATGGAGCTAATAATAGATTTTGGCCAGCCATTATCTTTCACTTCAAACTTTGAACACCACCTGTATGTCACCTGCAGTTACAGTGTGTGAGCTGGGCAACCATATATATCTAAATAACAACAAACAATAAACAAACAAACAAACCACCTTACAGATTGCTGTTGGGGAGAAAAATAAAATGACTTCAGAGGAGTCCCTTACATACACTGCCTGAATTTCTGGACAACAGACATACAGATGTAAATATATAAGGAGGTCTCTATTTGCAAAGCTTATGATGAACAAAAAATTGCAGGGCCACTGAAACACACAAAATTATACAAATTTGGAGCAGGATCAGTCCAGGACCTCAAAACCCTATTTTTTAAAAAATTAAATGCAAGTATTTTTTGCATTCCAACTTTTCTTGCACAAATTGTAAGTGGACTGAATAATTTTAGACACTCACATTTCCTTTCTTTTTCCTTCAATTTTCCATTGATAAGAAAATGCTTTAAAAAGATTCATTCATCTTTTACATGTACTAAACTCCTGCAATCACACTAAGCAGTATCTTGTATATTATTTTATTTTCCTAGCAAACATATGCACGTGGGTCTACACAGAGACACATATAGATATTTTGATTAGAATATTCCTCAGTGCAACCATTTCTCTGCCCTGTTTCTAGAGAACTGACTTGCAAAATGTGATCAATATCTAAAAATACTTCAGCCTTGTTTCACAAAAGGCAGAATTAAGTAAATTCCCACTATAAACCAGACTGTTTTTAAAAGCCATGACAAGCTTCCTCTTGGCACAGATTGAGCTGAAGAGAGATGCTTGCTGAAAATTCAAATGCAGAAGGCAGCCTTAAAAAGCCTCTGGACCATAAATCACAAAGCAAATATAAATAAGGCCACTTATTCTCTGGCAAGATAAATATTTCATTTATTTTGTCGCATTTCTATACCGCCCAACTCCCAAGGGACTCTTGGGAGCAAATATAGCACCCAAAGGCAAGGAAAGGGATGGAAATGATTCTTCAGGAGGGGAATAATTCTTTGAGAAGATAAAGCAGCACCTGGAGTCCCCCCATTAAAATAATACAGAGGCCTTATGGCTGCACAGTGCTTGCCTGATTGTGAATCAATACAGAATTAATTAGACTGATTTCTCACAAAGAGAAATACTGCAAAGTTAGTCAACATTTTGAATTGTGTTAGGCTAAAAACATGTTAACTATGCACAATTTTCTTTGTTAATTTTCTGTTTTTATTTGTTTGAGTTGCAATTTATCATAGTAATCTTGCCCTTGAGGGGTGATTTGATTTTAAAATTTATTATTGCATCTTTGAAATTTCATATACAGTATTTCATTCTTATTATTGATCATTCCAGCAAACTATTATTAACCTATACACATTTTATTTATAAATTTGATGTTTCAAAAATTTTCATAAGTATTTTTTCTTTTTATATTTTCTTTTTTATTGTTTTAACAATATTGTTATTGTTCATTGTTTTCATTGTTTTAACAATATTTTTAAGTTTTTAAATTTTTAATTCTAATGTTTTAATCTTTATTTTAAAGCTAAAGACTTTCGTGTTATGAGCTCTTAAAAAATAAAAGACAGAGTTATGATGACAGAGGTTAACTAGTGCCAACATAGAAAAATAGGATACAAGAAATCTAAGCATTTTAATTTCTCACCCAAAAAAAGCATCAGGTTCCATCAAGCAATTAACATAATATTTATCTTTAACGGGGCTGAACATTTCTGATTCAAATAATAAGTACAGCCTAAAATGATTTGTGCCTAAGTCTGGAAGGCAGCCATCAATCCCCATCTTGACTACTGATGTCTCTGAAGGGAACAAAATTGGGCATTTTGCTCTGGAGGATTCCAAACAACATGCAGATGGAATGAAATTCAGCCAGCATCCATTGCTTCCACACCAAACATTCTTTGTAGAACTGGGAATATTAAGGGAGTTGGCTCACATTAGAAGATGTGATCCACAGGCCCTTTTTAAAATATCCCCCCTCCCTACATTTTCTGGAAACCTATTGGGACAAGTCTTTTTCACTAAATCAGGAGTGGGAACTATGGCCCTATTATGACTTGTGGACTTAACTTTCAGAATTTCACGCTGGCTCAGGAATTCTGGGAGTTGGAAGTCCGCAAGTCATAAAAGGGCCATAGTTCCCCAGTCCTCATTAAATGCAAGTCTGATTTTCCCAGATTGCTCTGGGGCAGTTTATTCAACATAAAGATTTATCATTTGCAGTCTTTGGTCCTGTCGTCTTTGTTGCCTCTGAAATTTCACATTTATTATTTACTCCAGAGGACATAACGGGGATCCTAAGACAAAATTAATTTTAGAAGGTGAAGAAAATAAATGAAATGGGCACTGCTTATTTACATGACCTTTAGAATGAAGGACCCGAATACAAGTTTCTACAAGACAGTTATTGTTTTAATAAGTATGAACCTAGTCTTTCTCCTCCCCCTCCCCCACGGCGCCTTTTATAATCCATTTAATCCTAAAAAATTAAATCAGGATGTTTTAGAACATCTTAAGTCCAATTTCTATTGCAATGGATATTCTCAAAATAGTTTGGAGGAGGTGATGTATACAGAAGTTAGTGGGGTGAGGTTTTCCCCATTCTCATGGACAAACCACATCTTATTGAGCCAGCTAGGTATTATGGGCTGGATTGATGAGTCAGACTTTAAAGCAAAGAACCACGATGCAACAGGTTCTGACCATGCAACTCAGGAATCAGCAGGCTCTCAGCTAGGTGCAGATAAGAGTCAGAAGAAGCAGAATCTATTGGGAGCATGACCTTGCAGTTCTGGAGCAGTCAGGTGATCAAGTCACCTGTTGCAGAAGCTGATTCAGGGCCTAAACTGGAAAGATCCTCAGCCCTTGCATGTGTATAAAGATTAAATGAGTAGAACAAAGTGTTCAATGAGGTCCCTCAAAAGAGGCATGACTTCGGAAAATAGGCATGCCTGAACCAGTGCTATAAAAGATCTTGTGAGTCAGACTTCTGTTGGCAAACAACTTTTCAACCTTGCATCCACCTGAATGTATGGGGGGCTTTTTCCATACCTGGATGACCCCTGAATTGGTAAAATTACTCTCAACCACAGGCTTTGGATTTGTCTACAAAGAAATTTACCTTTTGAAATAAGCTTGTTTTTTCTCTGAACACTTACATACCTGCATTATTATAAGAACCAAATTATTTTACTGAAGTCTAACCTAATTGCTGGCATTAGACCAAATTGGCTGCCAACTACCATGAAAGAAGTTCCACCTTACATCAGTAGGGAGTAGTTGCTAGCTGAAATTGAACAACAGAAAGATCAGCTAGCTAGCCCAGGGTGTCAAACTGGTGGCCCGTAGGCCGGATGTATCATGTGCAGGCCACACCCACCATGGCTCTGCAAAGGCAAAAAAGTCATGATACGTTGCAATACATCACATGATGCAATCGAGTTTGACACCCATGAGCTAGCCCAACTGGCAATTTAGGCTACGATACCATGTCCTAAATATCCTGCCTCAATATCGTATTTGAGAAATTTGATGATACTTTTGGACAGAGTCCTGTTTTCTTTTATTTCACTGCAATCTATGAGTCTTAACTCTGCAATCTTTACAGTATGTCACTGGCTTCTGACTCAAGAATGGAAGTAGCACAGATGAGCTAGTTTCAGGAGGCATGCAGATGGAACTTCTTTATTTTTCACATTTTTGAATTGCCCATCTCCATCAAACAGAGACTCTGACAGGTTGTACAATAAAACATTAAAATATAAGAACAGTATATAAAAGTTAAGGTTTTAAAATTAAAATTCTACAAGGAGGCAAGGATAAATAAATGCTGTTAAAATTAGTTAAAAGATGAAGGGAGGCCTCTCAGGACATTAGCCATCCCCAAGGTTGTGTATTCCTCTGCGTTCCACAAGTAAGGCTACAGAGCCATGTTTTAATTCCTTTTCAGTAGGCCAGGAGAGTGGGAGCCTGTCTCACCTCTGGGAGTAGAATATACTACAGGCTCTCTTCCTAGACCCCACAATTGCTAACAAAGATGGTTCTTGAGTGAGTTTCCCCAGGTTTTATGTTCTTTTCTGCCATGGTTGTTAAGTAAATCACTGCAGTTATTAAGTGCATCATGCAGTATTTCAGTGGCTTCCTCCCTTGTCTTTGTCAGAAGCTGGCTAGGAAAGTCACAAAGGGCTATATATGTCCTGCTGTTGAGGAGGCTCAACTGAGACGTCCCTGTAGTATAGATTTGAAGCTGCTCCCAACATAGAGTCGCAATGTTGTTCAATATCTCGTCCCCTCCCATCTTCTTCTTCTTCCTCTTTCTTGACGGAGGGATTGTGGCTTTATGGATGACACTGTTGGATGCACTGGTTGATCCTTCATCATCACTGGTTGATCCTTCTTATTGCTGTGCGGTAAGATAACACTTGAGTCCCTGGACAGGAGGCGTTGTATGGATGAGACGACCTCTGTTTTCAATGTTGACTCCAAAGAGTTTTGCTCTACAGGACCTGGAATGACATCCTCAGGCTGCAATGATATAATTTGTACAAATGATTGTCTGAACAGACATACACACAATTACATACATAATCTTTAAACACACCAACAAAACTAGCATGAAGATCATATAACACTGTTCACACTAGATTAAGGAAACGTTTGACTTGAGTTTGCCTATGCATGTCTGAGTCAGAACAGAGGTGATTACTGTTGATTCCAAAGCTCCACATGTGCAAGGAGTGTGCTGTGGGTCAAAAGAAATGATGTGCCCAGGTTTTTTACATATATAATAATGGTCTGGAATAGTCCTTAATTTACAACAGTTTGCTTAGTAACTGTTCAAAGTTACAACGGCACTGAAAAAAGTGACTTATGACCGTTTTTCACACTTAATGATCCCTGCAGCATCTCCATGGACACATGATTGAAATTCAGATGCTTGGCTACTGACTCACATTTACGATGGTGTCCCTGGGTCTTGTGATCCCCTTTCACGACCTTCTGACAAGGACTTCTGATAAAGTCAATGGGGAAACCAGATTCACTTTACAACCGTGTTACTAATTTAACAACTGCAGTGATTCACTTAACAAAACGTGGCAAGAAAAGTAACGGGGCAAAACTCACTTAACAAATGCCTCACTTAGCAACATAGATTTGGGTCTCAATTGCGGTCATAAACTGAGGACTACCTATATAGTTTTCTTACCTCAAGTGCAGCACTGTTGAAATTGGTTTGGGTTCCTCGATGTTTTATAAATCCTTCCAGCCAGGACAGGATTACATACTGGGCAGGAATGGTCTGTCCTTCTGAACCCAGGGTCCCTGCTCTTTGATTTCATTTTTGTTTTTTAAGCTTGACAAACTCGTCTGGCAGCGGCTTCCACTTTTCTTTGCGGCTGTCTGGGTTTTCCTCCAAAGCTCTTCTAATTTCTCTCCACGAACTGGCTTTTACGCCCGAGTTTTTGTAGTTTTTTTAAGCTTTTACTTCGTGCAATTTTTTTATATACCTCCTCACTTCGTTGGCAAGTAGGGAGCAGAAATATCTGAACCCGAAACATCCCGAGCCCCTAAACCGCAATGAAATCACGAGGAGGAAGCCGGGTAGCCTCTTAGCCGGGCCAAAGGCTAGGAACAAAACGCAAGTTACGCGGCCAACGCAACGCTGCATAAGAGCAACCAAATAGACTCAAGGCCTGCACTCCTCCTCCTCCTCTCCTCTCCCCCTCCCACTCCATCCCCCAGAAGCCTGGAGAGCACGCTCCCACCCTCTTTCCTTCTTTCTGCAAATCATAGGCTCCGGGCGCTTGAGTGACGCACAGGCTCAACCAGCCGCGTTTCGCCCGATGGCCTTGTCACGTGAACCCTGGGTTCGACTGACATGCCCGACTCCGCCTCTTTTTCCCTCCTCGGCAGTTCTTGTCGGTTCTCCTGGCCGGGGTTTTACCGCTTCCCTCTTCGGCCGCCAGCCGCGCGTCGGGCGGTAGGTAAAACCCGTTGGAAAAGCCGGAGAGGACGGAGTGGGGCGGGGGGGGAGGGGGTGGCGAAAGGGAGGAGGAAGAGGAGGGCGCCCTTTTCGTGGCTTGCTGGGCGAGGAAGTGGCGGCGGGAATCCTTCTCCGCCCAGCCCGCCCGCCTGCCTGCCTGCCTTTTGCTGGAGGTTGGGGAGGGGCGGGGGGGGGGGGAGGTGTAGAAGAAGCGTCCGCATCTCGCGCCAGGCGCTTCTTCGCTTTGCAAGCCAGGGTGGAGGCGGGGTGGGTGGGGGGGCTCTTCTTAGCAACTTAACAGCCCCCCCACCCCAAACTCTGTGACGGGGCATAGTGGCCCCCCAGGGCTGGACCCCGAGGTGCCCCGGTTTGGGCCTGGCCCACGCTTGCTGGCGATCTGACATGGATCGATATTGCATTTTATGCTTTTAAAGCAATTAGCATTGCCAGGCCACGCAACCTTGCCTTTTGTGGCCGTCCTCAATCAGCAGCTGATGGGGTGTGTATTTTATGGGGGGGAGGTCCTGTTCCCCCAAATCCAACCTTATTCAGCCTCCCCGTTCTGGCTGATTTGCCATTAAGCGGGGCACTTTTGATTCGTTGTTCGGGCACGTTAAGTGTCTTATTTGTATACTCTTGTATATTTCGGACACACATCAACCTGCCTTTTGGAGGAGAACAGCCCTAAATCCTTTTATTGCCTCTTGGGCAGAACTAAACTTCTGAATGAGGAAATGCGCTTTGTCAGCTTAACCCTATTATGATAATATAGAGAGTGTACCAAGTCAGCACCTGTGGCATCCTGATAAGTTTCCTAGCAAGAGGAGTGAAGTAACGCTGGTGATGGCTGTTGTTGGATAATTCTTTTATGTGCTTTTTTTTTTTTGTTCTTGTTTAGTTGTGCGGCCTTTCCTCACCCCCCATCCAGAGAGATGCTGAATGCAGATGGTAAAAAACTGTTGCCTGTCTTTGCTCATGCGGCCTGCCGCTGTCTTCTCTCCGCTGAAAAAACAGGTAGCTGGGATTGCCAGGCACATTTTTCTACTAAGTTATTGACAAGCAGCATCTTTTGAGAATTAGCAAGGCGAGCAGACAGCTTTCCGGCCCTTAATGCCCCGTGTTTGATGGGCTGAAAATGCAGCAGGGTGGGCTAGCTGTTTTGACTTGCTGTAGTTTATCAGAAACCCCATAGACAATATTTGGCAGTTTCTGTAGCAGAAACGGAACTGACTTGTTATTGACATCCTTTCTCTTTGTTTAGTGCTGCTTTTTGCCAGCTGCCTATTGTCTATGTCTGTACTTGTTGAGTATTCTTCGGGGATTTTATGAGGTCTTATCAACATGTTGCCACAGCACATTAGTTCCGTTTGTCATCCTTACTCCTTTTTATTTTTTAAAGAGAGTTGCAGATGGACCTTGTTAGTAACAAAAAAGGGGCTGTGTGTAACTCTCAGCAATAGATTTTGTTTTTGTTCTGCAGCAATCCAGATTGACTCTCTTGGGGTCTGAGCAGTGTTCCCCAACAAGGGGCTTCACTGCTTCCTTTGCCAGAGAATGCTCACTTTTGTACTGCTGCTTACACCATTGATCATTCACTGCTCTATTCTTTTAAATGAAATCCACTCAGTTGTCTCTTCAAAAGACATAGATTATCTTTTTATGATCCTGATCACAACACCAAGTTCAGGATGAGTTAACAGAAAGGAACAGTAGGAGCAAAATCTCAGAAACTATAGTGGCTTCCCAGAACTGGAATTTTATTACAGAATCTCTTGTGTACAGAGTGCCTAATTGCTATCAGTTTCTAGTCACCAGAGGGTTTACAAGTGCATAATTGCTATCATTTAAACAGCTTAGACATCACCAGAGTATTTCCACTGCTGTCTTTAATAGATGCACATCTTCTCATAAGATGTACCATGCATTGACTTCAAATTGAAGTTTAAAATAAACATCTTTTCATTTATCGTTACAAAAAAAAATAATCCAAACTTTTTTCCCCATTTGACCAAATGATTAGCCTTTGTGAACGATAGAAGGGATTTGACTTCCTTTGTTAATGCCACCAACTGTTTTGTCTTTTAAGTGTTATCCCCATGGCATGAAAATTGGTTCAGATTAAAAGGCTGTTAATAATATGCATCATGTGGGAATTAAATATAATGAGGTTTAAAATTATCCAATTATTCTCTCTGTTTGCCTTCATTTCTCTGGTAAACTGGCATCAACTGATGTTCTGTAATTTTTCTTATAGGTCTAAGAGAAATCACTTCCTTGGATTAAAAAGAATTTAACCACTGCTGCAGTTGCAGAGTTATTTTTGTGTCTTGACAATCAGCAGTTTTGTTCTAAAAATTGCTTTAAAACTTGTCAAATGACCTCAATGGCCAGTCTGTTCTCTTTTACTAGCCCAGCTGTAAAGCGCTTGTTGGGCTGGAAACAAGGCGATGAAGAAGAAAAATGGGCAGAAAAAGCAGTCGATGCTTTGGTAAAAAAATTAAAGAAGAAAAAAGGAGCCATGGAGGAACTGGAAAAGGCACTAAGTAGTCCTGGACAACCCAGCAAATGTGTTACAATTCCTCGTTCATTAGATGGGCGACTTCAAGTGTCACACCGCAAAGGCCTTCCCCACGTGATTTACTGCCGTGTGTGGCGTTGGCCTGATTTGCAGAGTCATCATGAGCTGAAGCCATTGGACATTTGTGAATTTCCTTTTGGATCTAAACAGAAAGAAGTTTGTATCAATCCATACCATTACAAAAGGGTGGAGAGCCCAGGTATGTTTCAATGCCTTTACTCACCAAAAATAGTTGACTTGTTGCGGAGCAGCAAATTGAAAATGGGACAGACAAATTGGTACATGGGAATTGCATCTGGGAGCATTGATACTTTGTAGACTAGAATCACACACTTTACATCAACCCTTGGTTTGCTTTTACCATAACTTGTTGAGCAACAAGTTATAGCCAGGTTCATAGATGATACAGCTGTCCTATAAATCATAGTCTACAAACCATGTTGATACAGCCATTGCTTTAAACCAAACCAAAACTCCATAATGGCATAATGAAATATATAAACCCTGCTTTTGATTGTTTCCTCCCTGAACTTTATGATATTTGAAACTATTGATGATATTATGGATTTGATAATTGTATTGTTAAATAAGATACATTTTCATAGTAATTTTAGTCTTTTTTCAGTAATCAATACATAAAGTAATTTATGTATTGATTGAAAATCTGGAAAATGTTTCCTAAAATATTTCTTTTTCACATGTTCTATTATTTAACATCACATTTGTTCAATCATCTTGTGCAATTGTCTTAATACAGAAAAGCTTTGTGTTGCATTAGAGTTCTATATAATTTTAATTCAATTGCAAATGGATTGGTCACTCATAATCTTCATAGGGTTTGCGTGTTTTCAAATCCAAGAACTTTAGTGGCAACTTGGATAGAATTTTTTTAAAAAATTGGGAGAGTCCAGGGCAAAACCTCTTGATTCAATTTAAATATTAGTAGACATAATTCTCATGCTCTTAATAATTTTCACTTTTGTTATATTAAAAGTTATAATTGAGCAACAATTTCAGGAGGAAATTTTGGGGCCCTCAAAACTTTATGGAGCAACATCTGGCCTTGGACCATCAAGGTGTACATTCGGGTAGTAATTCTTTTCCAAGTAGAGAAATGGCATATACTGCTTTCTTTGCACTTTTGCACTTTTATTCCTCAAGAGTTAATTATGACCTGTGTAAATCTTCAACACTATTTTAATATGTTTTCTTTTTTTTTTTTTCAGTTTTACCGCCAGTCTTGGTGCCAAGGCACAGTGAATTTAACCCACAGCATAGCCTTTTGGTTCAATTTAGAAACTTAACTCACAATGAACCACATATGCCACACAATGCTACCTTTCCAGATTCATTCCAGCAGCCCAACAGCACTCCGTTTCCCATGTCTCCAAATAGTCCATACCCACCATCTCCAGGCAGCAATACCTATCCAAATTCTCCAGCTAGTTCTGGACCATCTAGCCCATTTCAACTACCAGGTAAGAACTATTTGTATGACAAACACTGAAAAGTAGAACTTGTATTATAAAATCAGAGGAAATTAGAATTCCATTTAGGTTATGCTATATTTGTACTCAAATTGGTTAAATAGTGTTTCAAAAATAAGTTTCAAAATGAGAAATCTTGTATAGCTAATTCTAAAATCCACTTTGATAGAATTTATTAATATCAAGGAAACAGCTTCCAAGTTAATATATCAGTTGGAGAATCTGCTGGTGCTTCTTTCTAATCCCAAGAAAATGAAATGGAGCTTCAACTAGATGAAGCAAGATAGATTGTGACATAAATGACTGACAAAGGAAGAGAATGAGGCCCATAGAAACCTCAACTGAGAATGAAGAGAACATTTTCATGATTGAAAATTGTTAGATTCCAAACAAATATGGAAAGAGGCAGAAAATGACAGAAAAGACAAGTCATGATTATAGTTGAAAAAAACCTGATAGTTCAAGGTAAATGTATTAATACTGCTCAAGTTTTATTCTTTTTTTCATTTGTAGCTGATACACCACCACCTGCGTATATGCCTCCTGAAGACCAAATGGGTCAAGATACTTCACAGTCTATGGATACAAGCAATAGTATAATTCCTCAGATAATGCCTAATATTTCGAGCAGAGGTGAGATAAACTTGTGACTTGTTAACATTTTGAAACTTTTTGATAATTTGCCACTTACGATCTGAATGGAGAAGATAAATTATTGTCACATCTTTTATTTAGTTTTTGAAGTGCAGTACCTCACACTGTCTTGTCTACATGGGATGAGATTGTTACATTTAAGAATTTGGTCATTAGAGAGTTTGTTGACTAGAAAGAGAAGCATAATGTCATTTGATCAGCATTTTACTCTTTCATCTGAATCATGGGTTCAAAAAGGGTGAGAGAAATACAGACCCAAGAATATTTTGTTCTAAAAAGCAAGTTGCGGTTAAATGTGTATTTAAATGGAAGTTAAAGGATAATTTTGAGGGTTTCACACTGTTAATTCCCATATATAAGAAGTTGAAACTGCATTCCAGAGCATTTATTTCTGTGTTGCACACTGCTGATAAGAGAAGGTTCAAGGTTATGCCAAGGAGAATAACTAGTTGGAATTTGGAAAAGGATAAGATAAAATAAGTATCTTTCGTTTGCTGTAATAGTAGAAGCATAAAGTTATTTTTTGATAGAAATAGAACTTTTTTTTAATGGATATCATTTAACTATAGGCCTGTTTTTCAAAAGAGTAGCTAACTTCTGTTGAATGATTCAGCATATATTAAGCATGCCGGCTGTGCAGAGTAACATTAATTCTGTATTACTTTTATTTGTAAGTGAAAATCTTTAGAACAAATATTTCTTACACAATTTGAATTGTGTAAAGGAATAAGCTCTCTTAAAACAGTTTAAGAAGATTTGCTGCTGTTCTTTCAATTAATGTATTTATACTTCACTAATGAATTCAGGAACCTGGAGTAACATTTACAGTCTATAGTCTGCTGTTGATGGTACTACCTGTTGGGAAAATTTCTGCAGAAATATAATTAAAGTTCTTTAGCAATAAGAAAAATGCATAAATGCTTAATACTCTAGGCAAGAGGCTGTAGATGCTGGAATTATTACAGGTATTTTATGTTTGTTTGTAGATGTTCATCCTGTGGCCTATGAAGAACCCAAACATTGGTGTTCAATAGTGTACTACGAACTAAACAATCGTGTTGGGGAGGCTTTTCATGCGTCTTCTACCAGTATCTTAGTAGATGGATTTACAGATCCTTCTAACAACAAAAACAGATTCTGCTTAGGTTTGCTCTCCAATGTTAATCGTAACTCAACAATTGAGAACACTCGGAGACACATTGGAAAAGGTAATCCTGAAATATGCTTATACGATTGTAAATAGACTGTTTGCAGTTTGGATAAATTAAATTTAATCATACAGCTTTGAGTAATATTATGCCACATGGAAAAATATTATAAATCTGAACAATTCATCTTGAAAACGTCAGCTTGATACTTTAGCAACTTTGTAAATGAAACATTGCATCAAAAATGTTCTTTTATCTATTTTTATCACTAAAGATTTAGTGGTAAACAAATAGTTAATTATTTTCTAATCTCTTGTACTTGATGTACATATTTAAATTATTTGTACAGATATCCTGCTTTATCATAACAAGTCATACTGAAAATAACACAAAAGTTAAGAGCTGAAGGGGACAGTGATAGCTAAACATGACAAGTTAGCTTTCTGGTTTGAAAGACCAATTAAGGAAAAAGCGGGTGATAGAATTGTATAGTCCTTAAAATATCCTTGAATATAATTGTGATACAAAGGGTGATTTGGCAGAATGCAGCCCAATTCAAGGTATAGCATCTTCTAGAAAAATCAGATTGTAGTTTTTAGGTGCTTCTGGATTTAGCTTTGCATGTTGAATTTTAGGAGGCAGCATTGTTTAATGTCAGTTGGTTTGTTACCTGCGTTGGTTCTTGATGAGAGCGCAGACTTGCCATAGTGAGATATGCAATATGGATTTATTTTAGATTGGATTTTATTACAATGCAGTTTCCATGGGGCTATCTCTGAAAAGCTTTTCAAAACAGCATTGGGTAGCTGTGAGCAATAATGGATGCTAACTGGCAGTATTCTATAAAGACTTCTTCTACAAGGCATGCAAGTTCTTTCCAGATACAATTCAAAGTGTTGGTAATGACTTAAAATCCTAAAGTCTGTCTCCCATACCAGCTTGCCTGCACACTAGGCCCAATTGATGAGGCAAGAAAAAAATAGTTTATCATTTATTTATTGAATAATTCTATCACGTACTGAGTGAAGGAAGATGAGGACATCTAGTGGTTAAGAAATTTGGTGTTTGAAATGATACACTTGACATATTTAAACAACTGGAAACAGTTGGAATCTTTCAAATAGAAATTTGGCTAGAGTTCCTAACAGCTGAAAGGAAGAGGCTATAATCATTTTTGCAATTTAACTGTGTTAAATATTTGGGATTTTTCTCCTTCCCTTAGGCGTTCATCTGTATTATGTTGGTGGGGAAGTCTATGCAGAATGCCTGAGTGACAGCAGCATATTTGTACAAAGTAGGAATTGTAATTATCATCATGGATTTCACCCTACAACTGTATGCAAGATTCCCAGTGGCTGTAGTCTTAAAATCTTTAACAATCAGGAATTTGCGCAGCTTCTAGCTCAGTCAGTCAATCATGGATTTGAGGCAGTATATGAGCTCACCAAAATGTGCACAATTCGAATGAGTTTTGTAAAGGTAAGTCTTGGCATATTTGTTATTTACGATATTGTATCTGTTTGAAATATCTGGAATGTATTACGTATGACTGCAATTTTAACATATAACAGATTTTGGAAATTTTGCTATATTTAATTAGCAAATCCTCAGAGTTAATTCAGCATTTCAGATTTATTATTCTTTGTTGTTTTGTGAATAACTTATAAGGATGTATAGGTAGTAGGAGTAGGAGTAGGAGTAGGATAAATGCCATAAGATATACAAAAGAATGTATGAATTGTTGGATAGATGTCTTTCCTCTATTCATTTGGAGGATGAAATAAGGATGAAGATCACCCACTTATTATTATTGACCAAATGAATTATAGTATTTCCTCTCCCCCACAAGAAAAATGGGGTGGGAATCAGTACCTATTTAGGGGAAGATTAATCACAATTCCAGTACAATTTATGAGTGGTCAGTGTTGACTGGGGTTTCTGCCAAGTTGTAGTTTTGCATCGCTATCATGTCCATCATAAGTAAAAATATTATAAATTATAGTCCAACAAAACTAGAAGACATTAGGGATTGATGGCTTAAATAACATGTTTTTGTTAAGTGGGATGGAGATAAGCATGAAGCTAACACTCTTCAAACCAAATCCTTTTTTAAAAAATAGAAATTGTTTTATTAATCAGTTGTTTCAGTATCTAATCCTAATCTAATTAAATACTTATCATTCTTTATAGGGATGGGGAGCAGAATACCACCGACAAGATGTTACAAGCACCCCGTGTTGGATAGAAATCCATCTTCATGGGCCTCTTCAGTGGCTGGATAAAGTACTTACCCAAATGGGCTCCCCACTTAATCCTATTTCTTCTGTTTCATAGTGCCAAAGTATTTCTTCAGCAACCACAATTTTAGTGACCATTTTCTAATTTTCCAGAAGCTTCCAGTGTGGATTCTGTAGGAATACATCATAAGTTACCTTTCTTCTTCTACAAATGACCAATTCCATTGTTTTATCATCATTTTCCCATTCATTTCATATTAAGACTGTTCAATTTGGAGGAAAACTGAAAAATGCAGAAACTGTTTTACCTGAGCTATACATATTTGAACAACTTTTGATTCCACTGGAAGTATTTTAACATGTTTTCCGAGGACACATTCTTGAATGACTTTACACAATGAATAACAAACACTATCTCATTTGCTAAATCTATAGATCCGATTTACCATCAGTTTTTAATATTACTATATGGTTGTGTGGATGATCTAAATCCATAAAGAGCTAGCTTTATTATACCTAAGATTGCCTTTAGTTTAAATATGACCTCAATATGTACATGTTGGCAAGCACGTGTCACAGATAGTGATAACAAAATGCATTAGAGCAGGCTCTCCTTTAATCAATAGCAAAGTTACTTTCATCACAGTTCAGTGTTGCCTTCATAATTTAGTCCTGTACTCAGATCAAAGTCCAGGAGATTCAGATGAATGTGTGTAGAATTGGTGCTTAACAGATGTTTTATCCAGGGTATGCACTGTTTGAGGCAGTCAACAATTATTTGAATACAAAACACTAAAGTGCTGTGTATCACATTGCAAGAATGTGCATTGTGTTTTATATTTTATTTTGCATTTTTGTAGAAAATAGTCTGGAGGCTTCCTAAAAATTTACATTTGCTAATTTTCAATATTATTTTTTCCCTTTAAATATTACTTCTGTTTTGGGGAGATTTAAATTTTACCTAGTAAGTGTTGTAAAACACTTGCTTTTTGATTGCTGGGGAAGCTCATTCTCATGATAATGATTTATGAGAATATTGTCATGTGGGTGACTGAAAGTTGTATGATGTAAAATAAACTTTTTTTTTTTATTGGCAAGGGCTACATTCTTTCAGGAGTAATCTCATGGAGGCTATATACACTGATTGGTGGGTGACATTTAACATCTTTATCTTACCTTTCTTCCCTACCTTCCTTTTGCAAAAGGGCTAATGATTCCTGCTAAAGGTGTATATCGAATACATCAAGCACATTTTTAAAGTGAAGATGTATACCTTTGGTATAGTGTTCATGAACCTTAATCATTTATACACGCAGGATTTCTTGTATAATTTAACAAAAGCTGGCAATCTTAACATCCGGATCATTTAGAATTGTTCTGACTAAAGCAATGGAAAGTCATAACAAAATACTGATGAATGGTTTGTCATGGGGATACAGGTGTTTATTAAACGTTATTTGTCTCCAGGAATATTTTGATTCTTTGGAGTAAATATATTAGAGTCAACCACCTTTCCAAGTCAAAGTAAAGTTTAATTTGAATTTAAATGGAGGTGAAATTTCCCTAAATCTGTTTGTCTGATGCTCATCTTATTAAATCAGTAATTGGTTGAAACTTTGGCTTTAAATATATAATATTTCCTTGGACATGGAAGGCAATCTGTATCAGAAGTAGCTCTTGGGTATTTTGCCCCTTCAATGCTAGCAATTAAAAGGGAACTTCTTACAACAAAGTATGAAATTTTGCATGGATTCTATCCAAGCTGTCTGAGCTCAAAAAAAGAATCTTAGCCAGTGTGACTGTGGAGAGCCTACTACACTCTATAGGTGGTTGTATCCTTCAGTCTTGATGCTTTAGCATCCCATGTATTAGAATAATCAAGAACATATGCAGATCCATAGTATATGTTGGCACAAGGCAGATACCTTTTACCCAATTTTGATTGAGAGTTCTTACATGCTTATCTTAATATGATGTTCAGTTAAGTTTGGTAATCCTAAAATTCTATATGGAAGAGAATGTCTTATAAAAGTAACTTTGTATAAAATGAGGGAGAAGAAGGTAGATTGGGAAGACCCAACCTGGATCAAATTAAAGGCCTCTCCTGCTTGTATTCTTAAACAACTCAACATTAAAAGGCAGATTGATCTTTTATTTATTTTTTACTTAAGATATCTAGTCACCACAATTAGTGCCATTTGTGGCCTTTAAAATTTGTCTAAACTCCAACTATTTATAGTTGTTAATCTCATAATTTTATCTGCCTTCTTTGTTATACTTGATCTTTTCTGATTCAACTTCAGTTCATGACCTCATATTGTATTAAGAAAAGGTTTGGTACAGTGATCAGAAATGCTAGATGAAGCGTAGCAATATTAACATATTGGCAATTTAATTCATTTAATTCATTTTGTAATATGTCCAGTATGGAATTTGCTTTTTCAAAGTAGTTGTCCTTTTTTATTTGACATATCCATTGCAATCCCAAGAGACTAATTATTCCCAACTCACAGGATGCGGTAATTATTTCAAGGCACTTCTTAAGAGTGTGGTTTGAGTCCCTGAATTGAATACAATTCAGTTTTTGAGAAATTAGTAGTTAATATGGGAAAATAAAAGATATGAAACTAAAGTTGACTTGTTTGCAATGTAAAAGAAAGTTTGGCCATGTGGCAAGGAGATTAATACTGTTCCTATTTAAATACTTGTAATCTTGGTTGATAATTTTTACATTTCAATAATCCTGCTGTACACTGGTATTTGGAATACCACTTCCTTGTATATTCTATGGTAATGCCTTTGAAGACTAGTTCTAAATTCTGGAAAAAATGTTTTAATAATTTTAACATTACAGTTAACAGTTTTAAACTTGTGACTCCTGACCGGAGAAGGTGCAATTTGTAATGCATGATGGTATTATTTTAAGAATGTAAGAATAGAGCACTGTAAAGTTAAGGCCTATCTTGCCCATCATTCTACAGCACGGGTGTCAAAACTCAATCACGTCACGTGATGTATCATGATGTATCGTGGGTTTTTTTGCCTTTGTAGAGCTGGTGTGGGGGATGTGTCACGCATCTGGCTCGCAGGCCGCCAATTTGACACCCCTGTTCTATAGGAACCAATTAGATGATTGTATTAGTCTGTAAGCAAGATAGAGCAATTGCCTTTTGCTATAATTCTCTATTATCTTATCATTTAGAGCTGTGCTATAGTAACATGGTTAGTAACTGTTAATCTTGTATGTAATCATTTTGTCTGATCCTTTTTAAAACCATTTAAATTGCTGGATAAAAGGAGGTCAGTAGATCATGATAGTGTGTTCCATGGTAATTGGGGATGAAAAAAAGTACCTCTCATATTTGGCCTTTGATTCAGATATGTTGAGAGTGAAGTAGATGACAAAGTATCTTCAAGGATAAAGAATAAAATCATGTACATGTTGTGAGAAAAAATGTTTTTGAAAACAAGTTAAAATTTGAAAATTCACCTTATAAAGCTCCATTATATAAGTGTTACTAGTTTCTGCTGAAGTTCTAAAAAGCAACAGCATACACCAGTTTGAACAGAAGTAGATATACTATTTTGCTGGCTTTTATTTAAAGAAGCTGCTTTTATTGTTAGTTAAGGTCACAATTCCCTGGGAGTTCTGAGCAGTTTCTTCCTAATTAAATGAATGGGAACTATAAAGAGTGCTAGATAGATTATGCTAGTTACTCAACCTTTCCTATCCTCACAGCTTCTAACTAGAATTTGTAGAAACCCATGCTGGCTGGGAGTTCTGTAATTTCTAAAAAAAAAATCAGACTGAAGGTTGCAACAGTATATGTGTGAGAGACAACAACAGAGACATCCTAAAACTTTTGGATTGCAGTTGATTTTACTATAAATCAGTAATCCGGGTAGTAACACATAATAATACCTTCTAGTAGAGTGATAAGAACTCATTTGCAGTTTTTCTAAAATGTTTAGAATCTGGGTAAGAAGCCATTTTTTTTTTACTGCTCAAGCCATTTATATATCATCAGGTACCAGAAAAAAAACGGACTTTTTGATGTATTTGAATTGTGGGCAGCAGAAATTATTATGTGACTTTGCATGCAATTTCAACCAATTATTGCCATCAGAATATATGTAGTATTCTTGTAGCAAATGTATATTTTTGGACTGTATTACAGCAATAAGTTAATATCTGATTTTCCCTTATTTCTCTGCTGAGACAAATGTATTAAACATTATTGCAACACTCTTGTCTTTTCTGTTATATCTTACACGTCCCTTCTGGCAATTTGAGGCTTTGTATACACAATTTTGTTTTTTCACTTTTTGTCTTTTCATTGGTATGGTAGCTTTTGTTTAAACTCTGTAGCTATAGTCAGAAGATAATCAGTGTTAAATTTAGGCCTATAACCTGTGAAAGTAAGTTGCTTTACAATAGACCAGTGATTATTGTCTTTCCATGATAATACAGAATGGAATAGAATATTTGGCCAAGTGTGATTAGATATACAAGGCGTGTCTCCCGTGCAGAAGGTCTCAGTGGAGATGCAAAGCAACAGAGTAATAATAATCATAATTATAATACCAATAAGAGGGAGTAGTAAAGAAAATAAGAGGTAAAATAGTAATACTACAGCCATACAACAAGCTGTACATAGACATTAGACATATATAAGGATAAAATTGAATGTATGTTCAGATTTAATACAAATCCATCCCAGACCACCCCAATGATTCCCTTGAAGTGATGTCCCGATGCCTGGAGGCTGTACGGATCTGGATGGGGAGAAACAGACTAAGGCTCAACCCATCCAAGACCGAGTGGCTGTGGTTTCCGACATCCCGATATAGTCAGTTGGTGCCATCACTGACTATTGGGAGCGAGTCATTGGCCCCCACAGAGAGGGCTCGCAACTTGGGTGTCCTCCTGGACTCACAGCTGTTTTTAGAAGAGCACTTGACGGCTGTGGCCGGGAGGGCATTTTATCAGGTTCGCCTGATTCGCCAGTTGCGTCCCTTTCTGGATCGGGACTCGTTAAATATGGTCACTCATGCCCTCGTCACTTCCCGCCTGGACTACTGCAATGCTCTCTACATGAGGCTCCCCTTGAGGAGCACCCGGAGGCTCCAGCTGGTCCAGAATGTGGCCGCGCAAGTGGTTATGGGAGCGATGTGGCGCTCCCATGTGACCCCCCTCCTCCGCGAGCTGCACTGGCTCCCGGTGGTCTTCCGGGTGCGCTTCAAGGTTTTGGTTACCACCTTTAGAGCGATCCATGGCTTAGGACCGGGGTATCTACGAGACCGCCTTCTGCCACCAGTAGCCTCTCACCGACCAGTACGCTCCCATAGGGGCTTCTTAGGGTGCCGTCGGTCAAACAGTGTCGACTGGCGGCTCCTAGGGGGAGAGCCTTCTCGGGGCACCTGCCATCTGGAACGAGCTTCCCCCGGAGATATGGAGGATCCCGGATCTGTGCACTTTCTGCTGTGCCCTCAAAACATTCCTATCCCAGCAGGCCGGCTTAGCCTAACCTCTCTTTTAAACTGTTTTTAAATTTTTTAAATTTTAAATTTGTCTTGTAAATGTGGGGTGTTTTAAATTTTGTTCTCTGGGCCAATTTATTTTAATGGTTTTTTAACATTTGTATTATATGTATTTTATCTTTTGGCTGTTCGCCCTGAGTCCTTCGGGAGTAGGGCGGTATACAAATTCAATAAATAATAATAATAATAATAAAAAATCACAATCTAACTAAGTTACTATTTGCTTTGAGTAAAATGGATATTTTCATTCCTTTTTGTACTGTTTAATATAGGAATCTCTTTTAGCCATCTTTATAAGAGATGAGGCAATTCTCCATGAGCAATTATTTGTGAGCTGCACCTATGCTAAAGAGTTTTTATTTCATGAAACAAAAGTGTACCAGGCACTTCCTCTCTAGATATTAGTTTAGTTTGCTGCAAAATAGACTTAACTAAATTGTAGATCAGTTTGGTTAATTCAATCAGATGCAGCAATATTGCTGCATCTGATTGAATTACAGGCCTGCTTAAAAGACCAAAGTGTACCATGAAAATTAGAACATATCTTAAATACTTTTATTTTATTTTCCTAACACATTGTAAGTTCCACAATAAGCAAAGCTGAATAAGGAATTGTAATTTAATTACTTTTGTCTCAGAGTACTTTTTTTAAAAGTACTCAGTCTACTTTTTCTAAAGCTCAGTCTAACAATCTGCATAGAATAATGGTTGGCAAAACTATGTAACGAGTTGTTGCTTGATTTATTTAACTATGGATATGTTCCATAGTGTTACTGATGGTTACTTCTTACCTCTTGTAGGCTTTATAACTGGAAAATATTTTTTCAAAGTCTTGCTTGCTTAAATTACATTATGGAATAAGAAAAGGTGTTTGTTGCCTGAATTGTTGCTTGGTAACAATATATTTAATAAAATATTTTAAACTATTGCATTAATAACTAATGTGACTATTCCTGCGTTTTTTGTTAATGCTTTTGAGAAAGTGTAGTCTGGATTCATAGGGTAGTTTTATTTTCTTTAAATGTCCCTTCCTCTGCTATTTAATTCATACTATTCTAATGTACGGTATATCAGTGTATATTACGGATGCAACTTCTGTACTGTTTACTTTGTAAGATATGTTATTCCAACAATACATTTTACCTTCATTCTTTGAGCATTTCTCCATTTGATCTTGATTATTAATACAGTTATTATAAATGAAGCAATGTCCTTTTGAAAGGTATTTCCAATTTTGTGTAAGTAAAATTTTGGAGCTGTCTCAGGTGTAGGTTTAATTATCTTTCTGAAAGTTATTCTTCATCTTAACAGTTTTTTTATTTCTGTTTCTTGTCTGCTACAAAAAAATCAATTCTTTATTAATCAATACTTGGGTATATTTGAGAGCATTCATATATTAAAGTGCTTGTGCTGAGACTATGAGACAGATAGTGGAAAATAGGCAAAGGTAGGAATTAAGAATAAATTGGGAAGCTGTTTGCCATGGAGGCAAACATTATGATAATGTTCTACTCTACTCTCCTAAGATGTTCTAGAAAGAAATTGAAACTTTTCTGTCAATGTATCTCGTCAAGGGCGCCTAAAGTAAAAAAGCTTATCATTTAATCCTTTTGAGTTCATTTCAAGAAAAGAATTCTCAATTATTTCAACCAAGAGCCATAAAATACTAGGGCCGCTATGCCTTATTGCAGGATTAGTCAGATCACTTCAGTTTGACAGACCTATTCTTTTAAATAAAAGTAAGACAATTGGATACAAAATTGGGTTTCTCTGTACTTAGAACTGAGAATCAGGATACCTAAGACTGCATGGCAATACTTTTTTTTCATATCTGAACTAAATTTATAGTCCTTTCAACCCAAGGATGAATAGGTGGCAGAAATTGCCTTTGTAATTCTATAACTTTTTAATGTCTTAATTGCTGTTGCTTAGATTTAATAAAAAAAAAATCTTCAAGTAGAATTCGATTCCTAAGGACTTCATGGACATAGCTTCTGGCAAGAATATGGAAGTAGTGTGGCACTGCTGCCTTCTGGATTGGGCTTGGAGGTTTTTCATCCCCTAGCCATCTCATTTGATTAGGTGCTGCCAACCAGCTGTGTCTTAGCTTTAACACAAAGTTATCCAGAGTAATCTTCCTATAATTGCATTCCTAAAAGGTGAAAGGCAAACAGCCACAATTGCTCCCAAACAGTAAAAAAAAAAGAAAAAAAAAGGTGTTGAAACACATTATCTTAGGAAAAAAATATTCAAATTTAAGTCAAATGAAACTGCTCACAATTTTTCTACTTTGGTACAAAAAGGACTTGTTTTTGAGAAATGATTAAGATGATATGAAGTTGCACTTATAACATGTTTTGATCTCATTTATTTGCTTGTACTTTAAGTAGAATTGTAACCATTCTCATTCTCCAAACCACTCCAGAAGAGTTCAGTCTTTAATTGCTTCAGGAGGGCCAGTACTCAAAGAGTCAATCTAACTGTAATTGGGAGGCTATGTTAACTTCAATGGAGAAATAATGGTTACAGCTCCCTTTTCCTTTGGGGGATCACCAGGGGTTTCTGATAGTGTATATGATTGGATGGATTGGTTGCTTCCATGTTGATGATACATTTGTGTGCCGTAAATACCTCAATGCAAAATTTTATATGGATCTGTTAAGGTCAACTCTGCATTACACCCAGAATTGTACCCAATGCATGATGTAATGCATGTTATAGGACTACAATAATTTATGGGCTACTGCATTTTGGACCCCATGCAGTCTTGTGAGTTACTTAGTTCTAAAAAGATCTCTAGTTTTCAAGGAGCAACACCTACCAGAAAGGGAAATTTTAACTTCTGTTTTGCAAAGCTTTTGGGGGGTGTTAGGGATCTCTGTAGATTACAGTCTCAAAGAACAGAGCATCAAAATTGAACTTGTCAACATTTTCATGAGAGTCTTCTTACTCTTAATGATTCTGGACAGAAATGATTTAAGATCTTATAGAGATACAGGTAGAGAGCTAGTGATTTGACCTAAACATCAATCAGCATTGTACCCCTTCAGGATACAAAGGGAATGCCCCTTTCAAATTTCTCCATACTTAACAAAAGGGGGGGGGAGAAAGTTTCTTCCTGTTACGCTTCAATCATTTTCAGCTTCCAGTGCAATTGCTTTCTCCTGTCTCATATATCTTTCAAATAATATTGTTGATTCTTCTACCATTTTACTCCTTAACCCATATGTATGCCAACTAAAATATTTTATAAATGAAGACAGGTCTATGGAAGGAAAGATGTGCATGTTATCCTATTTTATGTTAAAGCAACTAAAAATAGTTCAAGAATTTAAAAGAGATTCCAGAAACAAGAGTTCTGTGCTTAAGAAACAAAAAGAGAAAAATTCGTATTTCAATATGCCAGCTTTAGATAAGACTTAAGGGATGGGGAATAAAAATAAAAGGTCAGACATCCCACACTTTTATTTGTAAATTAATTCCTATATGTCATCAACATTTTATTTCAAGAAAATATGCTGGTTTCATTTTAGTTCTTGGGAAGATTCCTTAGCTAATCAGCTTGCATAAAAATCAGAATATTTTTATTTTTAAAAATAGCATGCTTATCTGTAGAACAAATATGTTGGCATATGCTCTTCAGAAACTGCTTGAATGAGTAATGATCAAGCAGTGCTCTACTTATAGCTCTGTATTGCTTAAGGA